CACGGTTTTTAATCTTTTAATCTAAAAAACATATCTATATCTAATTATAAAATAAAAATATTGTCGTTTTACATATGATTAAAATGTTATGTAATTATTCAAAACTTTTTTACGCCAAGTATATATTATAGTTATATTATATTTCGTGTGTAGTTACTTCATTTTTGCACTGTATCGTAAATTAGAAGGAAAAAAGAAAAATATGTGCATATATAGAATGAGTTGTTTAACTTTTTGCGATGTAAAATGTATCTCTTTCTCGTGAATGCAAAAATTGTTACATTTTCTTTACATGGTATAAAATGGATCATAAATAATATAAATATAAATATGTATGTAATAATATATACATACAGTATATTTCAGCGAAGTTACAATACTATTATGAAATTAGCGCCATTTGTGATAAAAATTTACTTTCATGTTTCGCAAAATGCTGCTTTATTCTTGCAAAAGTACTTTTTAAGTACTCGTGAATGAATGAATATGATTTAGAATATCTGGATCAGATCGTTCAAGTATTTTCTGATCACAGCGCTAATCGTGCAGCGACTGGTACGTGTCTGTTCTCAATATCTTTCGTTGCATTGCATTCTCTGGTTGCAAAATTACCCATGCAAATTTTGTAAGCAAAGTCGTCGAGTTAAACGGAACGGGTCTGCGCCGCGAATTGACAAAGCAGCAATATAGATATAACGCGACTTGTTGTGAATTTCGCGTCACTTCATCGATCCCCGAGAGTTAAATTCGTAGAACTGTCTTTGAGAGAATTCAGAATGTCCGAGAATTAGTAATGCAACATTGATAATTGCATTACATCATAACATACGATGGAGTTTAATGATTACAGACTATGCTTGAGAATTAATCACAATGTGAGTTATGATAATATTTTTATGTTTAAAGATGAAAGTTATCTTCATTTTTAAGTGAGATAATTTAATCGAGAGATAATTCTTAGTGATTTATATTTAAATAATAAATGTGGAATGTAAGTAAATGTGAAATCTAAGTATATTCTCGATATAATGCTAACTTGTATTTTCTATATTTTAGAAGAAAAGAAATGAATGAATGTTACAGCGCAACTTGTTCTTATGTACTTATTCTTACGTAATATTTATGCTGCGAGAAGCAAATTTTCAAAGATCATCGTTAAGAAGAGACAGAGAATTTGTAAAGGTCAAAATATTGATATTTTAATTTTTGCAATTATTATAGTGTGACTTCATTTTAAGAAATAGAATGCCGTTGATTTATTAAAAAATTTATAAAATTATGGAAATGAAAAATCCAATAGTGCTAAAACTTGTATTCGATGTGGCGTGAAAATCCGTTTTGTAGCACGCTGACAAACAGCATAAGAAATCTGCGCGAAATGATTATTGTAGATCTTTCTTTAGAAAAGTCTATATATAATATGTGTTATAAGAAGTCTTTTTTTAGAAAAACTTTATAACAGAGAGTGTATTTAAATAATAATATTGTTAGCCGTAGCAAGTTTGACCACTCCGAGAGTGATAAATGGCATCATAAGTTTCATCTTGGGTTACTTATAGATTGTCTTGATCTGACCTGAGTTGACCTATATTCGAAAATACATTTCGGAACAAACTTAAATTCCTAACAAATTGTATTTAATCGCTCTCATACCCGTTTCTACCAATGTAGATTAACTTTAATCTCATCTCAACTTACTCTTCATTTTTCTAATTCTTAAAATTAAAAAAAAAATGAGGAATTAGTTGAATCGAGATTAAAATTAAACTACATTGATAAAAAAAAACGGGCATCAAAGCAATCAAATTCATTACGGTTGAAAACGCTACAATTGTTCAATATTTCAGGAACGTATTCATATCAAACATTAGAAAAGTTTATATAAACTTGGATCTAGAAACATTTAGTTTTTGAGGTTGGACGAATTTTATTATTTAACAATAGTATAAAATAAAGGTATAAAACAATTAATGAAACAAGTATATTAAACAAGACACAATTTAATGGAAACAAACAAAAATAAAAATACATAAGACAGAGTATTTTCTTAAAAAATTTTTATTAGTATTTATAAATGGTCATTTTTCTATAAAACATGTTGGTCACAGAAAACTTCCGTTGCATGATAAACTGCTCGATTTGTTATGCTTGAACTTCGAACCCAATTGATTTTTACATTTGAGAGCATTTCAAGTTCATGAAGAGAGTGCATTTTAAGAGATTTTAAGAGAGTGTATCGTAAATGGACGTGTAAGCAAATATTTATGTAAAATTCCAGGAATATTATGACAAAATATGAAACGCAGATTCAGAGAATGCATCCAGACCGGAGAAGAGCATTTTAAATAATTTTTGGAAATGTTTCTGTCTGTGTGTACTTTATATTTAATTATTTCTTTTAAACTTTGTCTTGTTTAATTCTATACTTGTTTCATTAAGTGTTTGTTAAACAATAAAATTTCCTCTAAGGAAAACTAAATCAGAAGATGGCAAATTGCTTTCTTCAAAGTCTCGGAATCGCGAGACAAAACGAGAAACATTTGAAATTTTCGGGCTATCTTCTATTCGGGCTTCTAATGACAGAAAAATTCTTATATTTTTAATAAGTTGTATTACAAATTAATTTTCTACATCTCAAATATAATAATGAATAACATCTTATAAATATATATAAATAGCTAAAAAAAATTATTTTATTTCTTTCCCTAAAATAAATTCAGATTTCAATTTGAACATATAAACCTTTTTCCTCGAAGCGAATATAATATATAAATATAATATATATCACTCCTAACTGTTCTTTTCTTTTTCAATATTTTTTTAACAATAGAAAATTGATGCTACTTACTGAAGTAAATCTGCTTTTTTTGTCCTTTTGACTTTATTTAAGATATTTTCACGCTGATTTATATGACAAAGGAATCTTTTACATATGAAAAATGCAAACGTCGTCTCATGTCAATAAAGCTTCATTGCTTTTCAAATGTGTTACGCGTCATAAGACAGAAAATCGCACTGCTCTATTAATACTTAGGTCAAATGCTTTGATGTGTAATATTTGTAATATTAAGTAATAAATTAAAAGAGAGTTTTAATTTAATCTTATCTTTCTAAAAGAAAATATTTATATTTTCTGCAAATTATTACTTTATAAAATGTATGAATAAAAATATAATTTGTCGCAAAACAAATTTTTTTAGGTATTTTACTTAAGGTATTTTACTTAAGGTATTTCTCCGAAAAATTTAGTTTCCTACAGATTTTTTTGAAATTTGGATATTATGTTTAAAATAATTTTATCTATATATAGTTAAAATTTCAAAGATCCTAGCAGTACCGAAATGGAGATATTCACCTTTAAAGTTTCAGCTTTTAACACGTGAACTCCTTGCCGAAGTAACGTTTAATATTTTGCAGCGAAAATCTACAGATAAAAAAAAATATGTAATGTAGAAATATTATAGGACCCTTATAAAAAAAGATTAGGAGGCCTAGCGGTACCGTTTCTGAATTAGAGTAGTTTAAACTAGTAATTTGATGGAATTCTCCTTCTCGCACGTCAAGTAGCGAGACAAGGACATGCTGTTATTACATTAAATTTCACTGTCTTCAATGCGGACTAGTGTTTGTGTATACAAATACGACATTTATGCTCGCCTCAAAAGTTTCTCTCTTTAGAGAGCACACGCGGAGAGGCATATTCGTAGGTTGTACGCGATTAATTTTCTAACGCGATTGTAGCCGGAGAAATACTTTAATACTATTTATTAATTATATATACAGGGTGTTTTAAAATTCACGCCTGCGAAGTACAAGATGTGATACTTTATGCTGAAACAAATAACTTTTTCTTTTAACAAAATTGTGTTCAATAAATAATTTTTTGCTCCTTTGTTAACTTCAATCTGCTCTTCTACAAAAATTACTCTTCGGACGCAATTTTGCAAAAAGAAGTTATTTATTTTAGCATAAAGTATCACGTCTTGTACTGCATATCTATAACATATAATAGTTATTATATGTAAATAAAATGTAAACAAAATATTCTATATTAAACAATATGTAATTATCGGATAAATTTTCAAATTTAATTTTCTCTCATGTACAAAAATTTTCTCTCTTGTATAAAAATACTATTTTTTTATTTACTTTAAATAATCATAATCATAAATAATCATTTCTTTTTCAACTATTCCTATATATACAACTTGAGTTATAAAACAATGAATATATTATGAATATATAACACAATATTATTTTTTTCTCTTTTTTATATTTTGTTATTTTTAATCTTTAGACAAACATTATTTCGATTGTTACACAGGAAAAACAATTTTACTAAAGTATCTAAAAATTTAAATATAATATTATAAAAATAATTTTATTGGATTGTTAAAATAATTGCGTAGAAAACTCTATCGTGATAAGAATACTGCAAAAAATTTTAACAATCTAAACAATTAACTTGAGCGTTCTGTTTAATTTGATAATCCAATAAAATTATTTTCAGATTTGTATCTGTCTAATTTTTTAAAATATTTCAATAAAACCGTTCTTTACATTGTATACAGTTTTCCTCGTAACAATATTTTTTATGCAACCTATTCGACAAATAATAGCAGCAATGAGAAATATTATTTACATTTATTTTCAAACGATCGGTCCAACACTTCGACAGTCACCAACACATCATATGCATCAACATGTATTATTATTTAAAAAACAATTTTGTTAAAAATATTTGGACCTTTTTACATTCTGCAACTTTTATCTGAAATATTTTTCTATAAAATTTATATTTTCCGAGTTATTCAAGAGTACCGACCTTTTTTCCTAAATTGGATATAATTATTTTGATAGCTTAACAAAATTAGTTCCAGATCAGATATTTAACTATATCAGCAAAATGCTTCTTAGTTCGTATAAAGAGAGCGGATCTTTGGGAGCGAGCGTGGCATAGCGGACAGCGCACTGGTCTGCAATGCTAGAGTTCCCGGGTTCGATTCCCGGCGGCATCAAAAAATTAAAATTTTCATTATACGCTCGTATCTCCTCTCGGGAGGTAATGGGCAAAACCACCGAAGAGTACCTTTGCCCAAAGAAAAACCTTCTCTAACAAAATTTCGTAATTTCATCGTTCGACATTAAATGTAGTAGTAGTAGGTCCCCATATGTACTTGTGTAACAGTGTGCGCACCACAGGCATATGATAGAGAAGTAAGTTACCAGCTTTAGGGACTTACCTTCTTGTGTGCAGTTAAGTTGATAAGCGTTACCGACAATCGGCAACGCTGAGGGATGTGGCACGTTCTTTAAGGCATACAAAAACTTAGTCCTCCGTATCATCAATGGCACCGAGAGCGTGACCATACAGATCGATAGAAAAATGGTCAAAAAAGACCATTCTGGGATCAGAATTGCCAAAACCATATTTTTGCCTGTAATGTTTAATTAATGTTTAATACCCGTTGTTACGGGTTGTATTAATACCCGTTATCTCTTTTTCAATAGAATACGGTTGTATTAATACCCGTTATCTCTCTTTCAATAGAGCGAAAAAAAAATTTTTTGAATCTTTATACGGAGAGAATTTTTTTCTTAGAGTTTATCCTGAAAATGTGATAGTTATGAGACAACATTGTATTTCAAAGAATTTTAATGTAAATCTCTCTCTCATTCATTAATAAAATTACAATAAAGTATATAATAAGTTTGATTAATTTTAGTGAAGTGCATGGTAAAAATCTTTAAAAATATTGTATTGTATCACAACTATCATATTTCCAGGATAAATTTAAAAAGAAAATTCTCTCTGTGTAAAAAAGGCAAGGACTTTTTTTGAAATCTATAAAATAATCACGAATTTCGTTAGTGTTCAAGAGCGTTTAATCTTTTCTAAACATACAATTTTAGAAAAGATCGAGAGCTCTCACACGAAATTTGTGATTTTTTTTTTTGTAGATCTCAAGAAAAATACTTATTCAATCTTTTTTGAAGATACAAGAATTGTGTGAAAAATTTTGCTGTGCGACCGTCCTGTTGAAAAAAGAATTCGGAAAAAACGAGGATAGAGTAAACATCGAGAAGAAAATCATGTATACATACTGCTAGTACGAGAGACGTCAGAAATTTAATCGTTAAATTCAGTCGGATTCGCTTCTGCGATACTAAATTCAGTCAGAATTCTCTTCTACGATAAAACTCAATTGGTTCTTAACTTTTTCGCCGCGAGCGAATCGTAGAGCGATCGGATCGTATCGCAGAGATGCTCACCGGCCGTAAGTGAAAAATCCAATCTTAGATATAAGTACACGCTTTGTACTGAGAAGCGGAAGACAGCTTGGCAATTACCAAGTCCACCAAAAGAGTCGTGGAAGCGTGAGAAGAGGAAACACTGATTTTCCAAGAGTGGATTAATTCGCACAAAGTTGCACCGTGATGCCTTGCTATGCCTTCCACTTATAATGAATGACCAGTGCGGAAGAGTCGCCCTTATATACTACCAGATTGTACTACAGCGATCAGCGACTAACTTCTTTTCCACCAATAGAATTGCGAACACGCGTATGTATACGCTGCGTACCGATGGGAATATATATTCGTAAACATGTATTACACTGAACGTCTGTTACGTGCGTATACGTATATGATACGCAAGCGAACTCGTAGAAACATATTGGAGGCTGAGTACCGGTCGGACGCGAGCGCGACTCCACCTCCCTTCTTCTACCACTACATGTAGTAACGATCCTATCCTCCTCTCAGACGCCAGTATTATGATACGGTATATGGTGGAAAGAGAGGGAAGCGACAAGCGAGTGGAAAAGACTTCTTCGTCATTGTCACTGTTATGCGAATCGGCACTGCGTCAGTATGACTTGTGGAGACCTGGAGACGGTTACTCATTATGCGCATGAATTTCCGCCTTCTCGTTGCGGAGAACGTTTCGCGTTTCACATTAGAACTGTTACTTTCAAAAAATTCGAAGCTTCGAAGCTTAGAATAAAACTTCGAAGCTTTATTTCATTTTAGATTTTGTTTCGTATAATTTTTGTAAATGTGCGCACTTATTACAATACTATTACTGTTATATTAAATTAATAATCATATAATTTTATTTATTCGAAACTTCGAACTTTGAAATATTGAAGTTTCGAAGTTTCGAAAATTCGAAGCATAGAATCTTCGAAGCTCCGAAGTTCAAATGTCGAAGCCTTCGAAGCAAATCACCAGCTCATTTCGCATTAGTATTATATATGGTTTAAGAGATTTTGGTTAAACCCTTTCTCTCTCTCTCTCTCTCTCTCTCTCTCTCTCTCTCTCTCTCTCTCTAATATTTTTAAATGTTCTCACCAAAATTTATAAATGAACATATATTTTAATAATAAAAAATATTTCTTATGATTATTTATTTTTTAATATTTTGAAATTAATACATTTTCACATATATATTTTTAAAAATGAATTCAATTAATTTTGTAATAATAAATTTTAATGAACAATTTAATATATTTATACATATATATGTACTCATAATATACTAATTAACAATGTAATCCTTATTGCCTTTCAGATTTCGAATCATTTTTCATATTTAAAATAATGCATGACTAAGAATGCAAAAGAATAAATAATAACTATTTATTCAGCAGCCTTTGGCAACTAGATTTTTTGAATAAAATTAATCAAAAAAACATTTTACAAAATGTAAGTTTATATAAGAGAAATCAAGTGATTTTTTATAGGCTATTAATTATTATTTTATTATTACACGATATAAATTTGCATTAACATTATGTATTATTTGTTTTTCTATTTATATAAGTTTTGATTAATTTTTTATACAATAGTGTAATAAATACCTGCAATAAGAATGTGTAAAAACTTTATGAATAAATATTAATTTCTTAACATATTTTAGCAAATTTTCACTGATACGACGAGAAAAAATAAACGAGCGAATCTCCCAGAGCGAGAAATTTTGCATTCTATGAACTCAATTATAAAAAAATCGATAAGGTCTTTGATTACATGTTATCTTTCTATACATAAAATTCTATAAAAAATATTTAAAAATTCCTATTAAAAAATTTAGAAAAATGAAATTTTGGCCAAAATTTTGAGCTCTTGAACAATGCGGTGCGGAAAGAAAAAAATGCACAGGGCAAAGAGAAGTTCCTATACAGCACAGAATATTGAAAGAATGTTGCCGAGATGTTGCAATGTTGAATATTGAAATGTCAATGTGAATTGAAATGTTTTATCGATGTTGTATCTATTGATTCTTCTACATTGATTGTTAATGTTGTTGCAACATTAAAAAAATGTTAAATAAATTGAATTTTTATAATTAATTTTTCCACATTGATTATTAATGTTGCTGCAACGTTAAAACGACATTGAATAAATTTTATATCAAAATCTATTTTATTTTGTAAAAAATTAACAATAATGAAATATCATGTAAAAAGAAAATTTAAATCACTCTTAAATTGATTTTTTAACGAAACTCATTTCTAAACTGTATATGTTTATGAAGGAATCGGCCGGCGCGTACAGAATATTCGCATGACTGATATTATTTATTTTAGACCAGTTCGATGCGCGACATCGACTCGCGGTTTTCTACGGGTCTTTTTTATTACTGCACTTTCTGAATTAATACACATAATGCAATAAGTTGAAATGAAACAAATATATGTTCGTTTCACTTAAACTTATTGCATCAGTTCAGAGTGCAGCAATAAAAAACAGATCTCAGATATTATACATCCGTTATAAACATTCAGTGTTCGTAGATCATGCCTAGTAAAAAATTGTTTATGCATAAATATATATAAACATACATAAACACACATAAATACATACATGTATAATTATAAATGAAATATGTCCATATATATCCATACATCCTTTTTTCTTTTGCAAAATTATTTTTTAGTGCAATAGAAATAATAATAGTAAATATAAAAACATTAAAAATAATTAAAAAGATAATTTTCGCATTATTTGCTTTAGAAAAATCAAGTTTGAAGAAATGTAAAAAAATTACTTACATATTTTATTTATTATATATAAAATTTAATTAAATATAAAATTATGCATAATGTTATGAGTAATTTTTTTCAAACTTGTTTTTTTCTAAAACAAATAATACGAAAATTATCTTTTTAATTGTTTTTTTATGTTTTTACATTACTATATTATTTTTATTACATTAAAAAATAATTTTAAAAGAAAGAAGGATGTATAAACATGTATATATTTCATATGTAATTATATATGTTTATGAATATTTATGCATGTTTATACACATTTATACATATTCATGCACAAAAAATTTTTTACCAGGCATCGAAACAGCAGTTCCCGTATGATTGCAAAGGTTCAGCACCATTGCGTGACTGCTTAGGAAAATAAGAAAATTACTCCTAAATGAGGGGACGTTTTTTTAAATTTTTTTTTATTCTTTTGTCGTATGTAAGTTCCGGAATATGACATTCTTCCTCTCTTGATAAAAAAGACCCTTATCGTAGGAGATGTGTGATGATGCAAAATGTCCCTAATAACAGGCGTGTGCTATTCACACACAGACGATATGAAGAGGAAGACGATAGGAAGAGGGGCGGGGAGGGGGGGAGGGTCGACCGTCTAGCCCTCAATACTCTAAAGTACGAAATAAAAAGAAGACTAAACTTAAGCGGCCGGTTACGAAAAAGTTGAGCTCGATTTCTGGCTTTGGAAAAGCGCTGTACGGAAGAACAAATTCGAACACTTCTGTCGAAAATTGTCAGAGGATTTGATAAATATTTTTCCTCCCATTTTCCCTGTAATTCTGTAAATTTATGTATTTTCATAGAATATATTCTGAAAAGGAAAGTCGCTCAAGTCCCATTTGATTTTTTAAAATTTCAAAGTTTTTTCGATGTCGATAAATTAAAAAAACGATAATTTAATGATAATCTATGCATCTGCATATCTGACTATGCATGAATGTATGTATTTTTAAATAAATATTGATGCATTTACTATTTAATCAAATAAAATGAAATTTATACAAATTGGAATTTCTGCATTAAAAATAAAACGAGCATACATGTGTATTCCGTACGCGTTATTATGATATATATTTCCAACTTTTTCCGCAATAGTATTAAAATCGCATCGTTCCGATTTTCCATGTGTTTTCCGAAATCAAATTTTGAGCTTATGTTTCATTCTCGAATTTGATCTCCTTCTTTTTACTCCGTCTAAAAATACAAGAGATCTGGGTTCGACTCTCCCGACCGAAGTAATTTTCGCAATAAATTACTTATTTTTAGCATATATTAATATCTTTCTAATGTCTGATTGATGCTTGAGCATCAAATTATTAAAAAATGCTTGTCAATTTAATTTAATTTGTGATATTATTACAGTAGTTTAATTACGTTTATAAGTCCGAAAAACCAATTCAGTGCGCAGTTCGAATAACTACAAATATGATATACGTGTATGTAGTATGTATATATACAGAGTGTTTTATTTTAAGTGATATGGTCGATTATCTCGCGAATCGATGATTTTATTGAAAAATTCTTTGAACAAAAAGTTGCATGGCTTAAAGGGGAATACATGACGGAAATGTGGACTTGATCTTGAGAAAACTATAATAAAGTTACGTTTCATTGAGTACTTTCCGAGTTATAAAAAAGCTTGAAAATTATAGTATCGTCGACGTTATTCATGTCTTGCCTTAGTTGGCAGGATCAGTGATCGGTCTTGCCTTAGTTGGTCGGATTTGTAATTGGTCTTGTCTTAGTTGGCCGGATCAGTGATCGGTCTTGCCTTAGTTGGCCGGATCAGTCCCGATCTTGCCTTAATCGGCCGGATCAGTGATCGGTTTTGCCTTATAACTTAATAAGTAACTTAATAAAACTTAATTTTATTATAGTATTTTAGAAGCTCTCAAGATAAATTACAAAAATATGTAATAAAAAATAGGGATTTCCATTTAAAAAAACACCTTGACTTGATTTTGAATTCAAGGTCACATTTCCATCATGTGTCCCCTTTAAACCATACAACTTTTATTCAAAAAATTTTTCAATAAAATCATCGATTCGCGAGATAATCGACCATATCACTTAAAACAAAACATCCTGTATATATAACATTCACATATAAGCATCAAAGATCTAGTTTCAATCGGTATAGGCACATTTCTAATTCGTATTGTAAATATTTACATTTCATACCCCCTCTCCCCCTCCCCCCCTCCCACCTTCAGAATAACTCTCTGGATCCGCCCTTGTTCACACATGCACATTCTCGCGTGTTTATGATATAGGCGGTTCCATTTGATGTTACAAATGCTTCAAAGTATTTTTTGATTGGTCAATCGAGTCAAAGTTTCAAAATCACTTCCTACTGAAAAAAAAATCACGTAACAAAGTAATGAAATCATGT